AGTTACAGGCTTGCTGCTAGCAGCTCCATCAGTGGATTGGGACAGGAGGCTGGGACCTGCCTTTCCCCCGCAGCTCTTTCCAAGTCCCCTGCCCCTGACTAGGGAGCCAGGGCCAGAAGCTCCCTGCTGCCAGGGTAGGGAGCAATCTTCCAGCCCCTGCCAGGAGACAGCTATCTTCTGGCCCCATGCTCCCTACCCACCCCTGGGCTAGCACCCAGGGGAGCCTATAGCTCCCCCTGGCTGCTGCAGTGCCAGAGGGGGTGGGAGTAGCAGATCTGCTTCCGCATCCCTGTATATGTAGATGCCTTACTGGAGTGGGTTTACTAGAGTAATTTACTATAGAGTAAAACCATCCCAGAGTAAATGCAGGTGTAGACAAGCTGTGTGTGTATACATTATTTACACACACACACATTGTGGGTCAGGAGCTGTGTGTCCACCCGGGAGCATCACAGTTGCCCCTGGGGCCTGGCCCTGCTACAGTGGGGAAAAAAAGTTTTAATTGGAACTTGTATTTTCTGACATACGAGAAAAGGTTGGCTTTGATTAAATAAATATATATATTATTAATAATAGTTAGAGGTGCACTGATACCTCTGAAACTGGCTATATCGGATATCGGCCAGATGGACCCAATAATTTGGCTGATAAATGCCCGTGCTGCATGCAACTGCAGCACAGCACTCAGGCAGCGAGGAGCACAGCTGGCAGTGTGGAGAGCTGCCTCCAGCTGGTAAGTCCGGTGTGGTGGAAGTGGAGGGGGCTGGAAGGAACTTGGGGGGCAGATCAACCCCCACTCCTGTGGTGAGGGAGGGGGCAGGGGCAGGCACTGTGCAGGTGGGGCAGGGTGCTGAAGTCATGGCTTATGGGGGTGGGGGGAGCCGGCTCCCACTGCTGTTTGCACTCCGGGAGGGTATGGGGGGACCGTTTGACCCCTGGATATGGGCGAGGCGGAGCGGGCTGCAGCCGAGACTGTGCAGGGGCTCTTCTCAGCAGGGGCTAGGATTGGAGTGGGTGCTGGGAGGGTGCTGCATCCACCCCAAATTTAACTGCCGCTCTGCTTCTAGTGCTGGGCCCAGCAAAGCCCTGGCTTAACACCTTGCCTCCACTCACGTGCTGGGAAGAGCTGGGGTTGTGCTGGGCGGCTGGTGGAGGTGACAGCACTTGGAGCGGAGCGGTGGTGAAATTAGGGGTGGATACAGTATCCTCCCAGTGCTGCCGGTGTCTGCTCTGAGCCCAGCCCTTGCCGAGAAGAGCCCCATGCAGCCCTGGCTGCAGCCCACCCCTCTGTATCCCACCCCGTGCAGATCCAGAGGGCACATGCCCCCCCATGCCATCCTGGGGTGCAAGCAGCAGCAGTAGTCCCCTCCACGAGCCGCAGCTCTGGTCTCCGGCCCTGCTCTAAGGGCACTAATCACCTTGAGGGCTATTGATGGTCTCCTTCTGCCCCTACAGCCATGTCTATGCCTAGCAGATATCACTTTGTCACTGTTTGCCTTCCTGTATAGACTTCAGCCGCCTTAGCCTATAGGTTACCCCGCTTGTCAGGTGGCTTAGGCCCACTGTCTTGGGCACTGCCTTTCCAGTCTCAGCCTCTAGTTGGCCTGCATTGCCCTTTCTGGGCTCAGGCTCTACCCCTCTCAGCCTTGGTCTGTTTTGGTCCTGTGCCCTTGCCCCTGACAGGGCTCAAAACCTCACATGCCCCTCAGCCACCCCTGTGGCCTCCTTTCCACCCCTTAAAGTCACAGCTGAAACTCCAGTATAAACTAGAACATAAATCCAAGCAACCTCCTTGAACTCAAACACTCCCCCTCTGGATCATCATGCTACTGTCAAGCCATCTTCCCATTTTCTGACTCTCTCAGTCTTGGGAGTACTTGTTGTGGCTTGCAACTCTCACTCCCCACCAGCCCAAGCTGGCAACAGGTCCTCTCCTGGCTGAGTTCAGGCTGCACTGCTCCCCTGCCTCAAGGGCCCAGGCTTATATCCTCTGGCTCCTCCTCTTCCACTCAGGTGCTCCCCTGACTCACTGCAGGTATGCCTCCACAGCCTCCAGGGCAGCTTGCTGCCAGCACCCTTGCTGCCTAACTAGGGCTCTGCCCTACACCCGAACTGCTAGGCAGCTAGCCCACAATAGGCACTTGCAGCCTATGGGTCCCTGGCTGCCTACCCCCCACATCTAGCCCATAATGTGCAGTCTTCCCTGACCTTCAGGCATTCCTGCTGCAGCTTCTCCCTTAAAGTAACAGGAGCCCCTGGCTCCCTGTTACACCCTCTGATACAGAAGTGTCTATATTTTTTGGTTTTGTTTTGTATAGACATAAAAATAGGACCTTTGTATCTTCCCTGCTGCCAGACATGGGCTAGAAACAGTTCGTGTATGCATTGGGATGAGCTCTTACTTGGGTCATTGCCTTGAGCAATTGTATCTATTTGGATACCCTCCGTACCCTTGGAGGCCAACCAGTACCTTGTTGTCAGACTGCTGTAGCAAAAATGCTGAGGTCTCTGTTAAAGTTGTGACCTCTGCCCCCTAAGGGAAGTATTAGGGTGCATGTGCGTTGCCAAACTGAAATCTTCCATTAAATCATCAAGGTGCTCTTACAGGGCATCATAAGTATCTGTCCTCATACTAATGAAGCAGGTACACAATCAGTTTCCTCCTCACTGCTGCTCTGTTATTTGAAATGGCCAGTTCTTCCTATTTACTCTTCTTGTTTTAGCTAATAAAGAATTTTGCCCCCCACCCCATTGAATACATATGGCTTGCTCCTGCAAACTTTTAATGTTCACATCAAGAGCTCTTATATCAGAACTTATTGGAGCCAAGTGGCCTCATCCTAATGTTAAATTAGGGGCAGGCAATTATTTTGGGCGGAGGGCCGCTTACTGAGTTTTGGCAAGCCATCGAGGGCCTCATGACAGGAAGCCAGGGGCAGATAAATATTAATTTTCTTAATTTTGGGGGGGCCCTGCGGGCCGGATAGAATGGCCTTGCTGGCTGCATCCGGCCCTTGTGCCGCATTTTGCCCACCCCTG